ATAGGACTAAATTGAGGATTTTAGTCTGTCACTCTAAAATCTCCAATTCTACGCCCGATAATTTTATTTTCTTATTTATTTGCACCTAACTTTCAAGGACTTTGACCTCCCTGAATCTTGGATGTAATCTTCACTTTAATTGTAAAACTCCACAAATTTTAATAAATCAAATGGTCAGATTGAAAGTAATTTATGATCGAAGTGAAAAGATCATAACAATTTCTAACATTCTCAAGGCTCAACCAATTCAAATCACCATTTCACAAAATCTCAAGACAAGGAGAAAGACAGAGAAAACTACTCAGGACTCATGGGGAAGATACGACAAAACTCAGAATTTATATATAAAAGCAAAATCATACAAACTACAATAAGTAAATACCACTTATCTCAAATTCCTCCCCAAGCAAACTCCTCGAAGTTCCTTTGAATCTCTTCCTTTCTTTACAAGACATAAAATTTTTCTTCGAAGCGGCAAGGAGGAAGACATCTCTCACCTTCCCTCCACTCTTACATTCTATTAAAGAATTCCTCACAATCTAACCCTAAATTAAACTCTCTACACTCTACACACTCTCTACTTCCTCCCACCTTCCCTCTATTTTTGGCTAAAAGCTTCTCTTAAAGTTGTAGAAGAGTTTTCCCAAGAGTTGCCTAAGCATCCCCTCAAAAATCGTCCACATTCAATGCACCTGTTGAGATAACCGTCGATCTCACCGTCAGCGGCCTCGAAGGCGCCGTCGGCGGCCTTCTAGAACATTTAATTATGAACTCTCGGGAAAAACCCACCGTCGGCGCCGTTGAGCTCGCCATCGGCGCCCTAGTTCAAATCTTCATATTTTGGTCCTTTTCGCTCTAAATTCTCTCTTTTTTGTATCTTTTTTCTCCAATGATCATAATTCAACATATCTGCAACAAAACATCAAAAATACCCTTCTTTAAAGGGTAATATCATCAATATTAGTATAAAATAGGGATGAAAATCTCAACATATTTTTCTTTGGTCAAAATC